AGTTTCTCCTTAGTTGCAGGTTGGATCTATCTTTAACAAACTTTCACCCATTGCTTCTTATCCTACGCTCAGGAGCTTTGGAGAATAGATTGACGCTCACATGTGGCAGCCCCTCAAGAAACAGAAGTCAGCTATCATGTAACCCTAATTCTTCTCTTTGTTAGATTAGACGTACCTAGTTCTCTTAACCATTCCTCATAAAATTTATTCTGCAGAGCCCTAATCATCTTAGCTGCTCTTCTCTGCATTCTTTCTAGGGTCTCAGCATCTTTTTTGTACCATGATGACCAGAATTGGATGAAGTATTCCAATTATGGTCTCACTAGTGCAGTATAAAGTGATAGTATCACCTCTTGTGATCTTGAGGCTATTCCTCTGTTGATGCAGTTTAGGAATGCATTGGCTTTTTTGGCAGCTGCAATACACTGCTGGCTCATACATAAGTGTGGGTCCACTAGGACACCTAGATCCCTCTCACAGTTACTACTGTTGAACCAAGTGCTACCTATTCTATACTTGTGCATTTAATTTTTCCTGCCTAGCTGCAGAATATTACTTTTCTCACCACTGAACTTCATCTTGTAAGCTAAGGCCCAATGCTCAAATCTGTCAAGATCCTTCTGAATCTTGAGTTTATTCTCAATTCCCCACAATGTCTGTTGATGTCTTTTGCAAATTTGATAAGCTCTTCTATTTCTAGATCATTTATGAAGATGTTGAAGAGCACTGGGCCCAAAACACAAGCTTGAGGCACACCACTGCATGCTTTGCTTCACGTAAATATAATTCCAGTGCAGTTGGTCAACCAACTGCAAAGCTTTCTGGTGGTGATACTGTCTATCCCACATTGTTCTATTTTACTGAGAAGTAGGTTGTGGTCTACTTTGTCAAATGTCTTATTGATATCTAAGTATACTATATCCACAGTGTTTCCCAGTTCCACTAATTTAGTCATTTATCAAAGAAGACAATAAGGTTTCTCTGACATGATCTGTTTTTTAACAAAACCCATGCTGGCTTTTGGTAATCACTTTATCCATTTCTAGATGCTCACAAATCTGTTGCTTATCTTTTTCAGGATTTTTCAGGATATTGATGTCAAGGTTATCTAGTTTCTTGGATTCACTAGATAACTATTTTCTTTGCTTTTTTTAATAGAATACTATGGATGATTTACACTGTAGTTTATACCCAACTCATTTCCAGTCAATCCCTCCTGTGCTTCTATCAAAATAAACTTTTTGAAACAAGTTCTAGAACTTTTTCTGTTCAGAATTAAGATTATTCTTTATTTATCAAAAAAAATTCTTGCATGCTTTCAATCACTTCTTGCATGAAATTGTTTTCCTCTCTCTGTTTTCTTTTGCAATCAGACAGGCACATTGCAAGCACTCTATTTGATTCTTCATCACAAATTCCAGCAGGCATCCTTAAAAATATATGTTAATGGGTTTATTGCAACCACTAGAAAATAAAAGATGCTGACCAATTCATTTTTTTAATATTGATGTTTTTGTGTTAAGAAACATTGTTTTGACACCAATGCATTTGTGATACTTGTTACTATTCTCAGCGGTGACGTATTCTCTATCCCTAGCCCCACCTCTGGACAATTTTCCAACAAGAGGAAAAATCCATGTTAACTTTCCAAATGCATGGGAATGTTTAAGTTGTCCTAAAAGGCAAATAAAAATATTTTAATATGCAAACCAGTAGATAGGCACTCCACTCTCTTTTCCACGGTTAGTCTCCATCCAACATTACAGAAAGGAGCATATACAAGTCACACAATGTAAATAGAGCAGTTTTGAAATTAAAAGATATTTCAAGCTCATTTCAAGCCAGAATAAGCAGGATGTGCATTAGAATATAAAATAGAGTATTCCATTACGCCTCCACTCCATTATAAGCTGTTATAAAACTATTAGAGAGTAGGGAGGGCTTTTAATGATGTTTTCTACAATATTGTAATTCACCCAGTATATTAGCACTGAAATTGGTTTGATATTTCTCAACTTTGAAAAAAACTCCAATAGGACGTTCTTTTAATTTCTATGGCAATAACACTATATTTTATCTACTAGAATTCGAGCATTTTAGTTAATCCTATCCATTGCTCCCAGATTACATTTGCAGTTTCCCAGCCTTTCCTGGATCATACCTTAAACACTAGAATCAAAATGGCCATATCTGAATTCTGAAGTGCAATTTTTGGCTTAAGCATAGTTATTTTGTATATTTTCCTAACTTCTACACCAAAATAAAAAATAGTTTAAAATGTTAAACCTGGTCACTCTAGTGCTAATATCAGGTGACCAGCCAAGTCACCTGAAGCCCTTGAAGGACAAAGAAACAAACATGAATTGCAGCTTTTAGAATCCAAAAGGAAAACGCCTTGTCCTATCCCAAGTGTTCTAGCTGCCCTTCCTTCTATATGACCTACTTCCTGTGATGGTTGTAACAATGACCATGAAAGGTAGAATGGCTTGAGCAATTGTGATTGGCCCCAAATAATTCCAACGAAAAACAAGCGGGGATTCAAATATTGAATCTTTGGTCCAGGCTCAGCCACTTCTCTAGGACCACCTTCAGAATCAATTTGTGACAGCAACACAAGAATAAGAGAAAAAAAAAAAGAAATGAGTTTTTGTATTCCAGACATCCTCTGCTTTCTAATATGAGCATTATCCAGTCCTCTGTTCCTAAATTAATCTACCTTGGTTTAAATCTATAGGGCTCATTTGACTTTCCCTTTGCATGTCTCTGCTTAACTGTGTTGAGGATCACTGCTGTGTGCATATGTGTGTCATGTGTGTGTGTATTTAACCCAAATTCATTTCCCCTTTTGTTTATCTGGTGGTCCCAAGCTTGCTTTTGTCTGCTTTAGCCCTGCCCTGCAGGAGGTAAAAGGGGCTAAGAGGCTGCCTGTTAAGGGGAACAGCTTCTGTGCACAGCTGCACCAAGCCAAGACTCCTGTCTCCCCTTTTTTTTTTCCTTTGCTCCCTGCAAAATCTATCCATTGACAGCTAACTCACCCGCCCCCCCCCTCCATCTCTTCCCAAAACGTACTGGCTATTCAGTCCTGATAGAACCCTCCCAGGCCCCTTTTGTCCCAGGGAGAACTGCAAACCCTCTCATTAGTGCTTATTACCCTGAGCTGTTTGACAGCCTCCCTACCAGCTTACAAGACTTTCTCATTCAGGCATGGCTAGAGCCTGCTCTCCTTCTCAAAAGAAACGGAAGTATTCAACTGGTTGAATAGAGGGGAAAAGCTGTTTCACTTCTCCTCCCTCCTTATTCAAGTTACTTTTGATACAATATTTTCCTCTTTGTTTGGCTAAAGAGAGACAGGTCAAGGCAGACTTCTGGCAAGCCTTGCTTTGTTTAATGTAAATAACCAATTCCCTGTCTTCCTTCTGCTCAAGGAAGATCTCTGTGCATTTTCCTGTGCAATTTGATGCATGCATTCAGGTGTTTTTAGGCTGATAGAATGGACTATTTCATCATTTCACGCTAATTTTAGCATCATATATTGATCATCCATTTCAAATCAAGTCAATGTACTCCATCATTTTAACCCAGACAAACGTGTGCCTCATTCAAAGAATGAGGGAAGCAAAGCCCCCGCCACACACACACCTCTTCACAGATGGGAAATTCTTCAGTGGCAAGGATAAATAAAGGCAGTTAATTTCTGCAATTTATTTATTTTTCCTCCTAAACAGGAGGGGGAATGTTATTAAAGAGTGGCAGGTCCTCCCCTAATACTCCAGTCCTTCAGTCAAAGCAGCAACAGTCTTTGACCTCCTCATTATTGTACATTTCAACTCCTTACCTCCAGATGAAGCAAATGACTCTTTAAAATCTTCTCTTACACCAAGCAACAGAGTAGCTTTTCCAACTTGGTCTCTTTCAAAGATCCCGAGACTGCAGCTCACTGAACAAGTAGCTAGCATGGGGTAGAAATTCTGAGAATTGCAGTCCCACTATTGTTGAAGTGCACAAAGACAGGGAAAGTATCAGTAAAGGGCTATGCAAAGAATTATCTCTGCATCTACTGTAAGTAGTAATTCCCCAATATCTTAATGGGCATGTATTCTTGATAACAACATGGAAGTGAGTTCCTACTGCCATATTCTGGAATATCTTTTCAGCTTCCCTGTTTAGCAAACAATATGAAATTATAAATTATATATAATTTATATATAAAATATAAAGTAAAATTGAGTTTTCTGATGTTCTCTTATCCAAGCACTAAGGAAACTTTCACCTGCTCAGCTGTTCTGAGATCAGTCAAGGTCTATTAGGAGCTACCAATGGGATTTCTAGTGTAGTCAAAGAGTGTCCACTGTAAACAAAGGGGAGCCATTTAAAATTTGGAGCAAGGGCAGGAATATAAACAAATTATTAGGATGAGGAATCTTAAATCAGGAAGATGCACCTTAGGGATAGGTAAACATGCTGATTGATGTTGGGGAAGTGAAGCCTGAAAAAGGGGAGGGATGGGATTGTTATCGGGTGTTCTAGAGGTCATAGGATGCCAAACAAAAGTGTTCCATGCTGCAACATTTTGAGGCAGGCTTAATATGCACTTCAGTGTCTCTGATTCCAACTCCTTGGTTTTGACTATACAACAAAGAATGTTGACAAAACTGCCTTCTCTGCTATGAACAGTGGAAAGAGGGAAGCTTTTGGCAGTATCTTGCTTCCCATGTTTGTGAGAAATACTCTGTTCTTGATCTTCAAACACAGATTCAGTAGGAGTTCTTTAAGTAGCAAAGGCAGAGATCAATACATTAGTCTATACTCACCTTAACGCCAAAGCCACTTGGCTATGATCCAACATCTGCTAGACATTTTCCCACTCACAATGAGATTTTCGCAGAGAGTGTGCTGATTTTACATTTAGCAATTCGTTTACCAAAAGGATCAGCTAGGTTGAACAGTGTATTATCCTGCATGTACTGTATTAAAAGGCAAGTCAAGGAATTGTTATCCTATTCAGAATTATATATGTATTTCACTGGATCATTCTTATTTATCAGCTTTGGATCAGAATTAGAACAAACTGGATTACATACTAACTGAATTATATACCGAAAGAAAGTAATTACTTTAGCATTACAATAAATTAATTTGAATTGTTGAATTACAACTAGACTCTTTGGATAGTAGAATGATTCAGCAACATAGACAGAATTCATGCCTAAAACAGAACCTTTCTTTTCCCAGCAAAAAGAAATCAAACTGCAAGCAATCAGCTTATTTAAAAAGAAAAAGAAAAAAAACCAGAAAAACAAGACTGAAACAGCACAGCTCAAGTGATTTAAAGATCAGTGCTCAAACTCTGTAATGGTATAAAATCCCTTTGGCTGGGGAAGGAGAAAACCCACACACACTAAAGCAGCTTAGCTGGTACTCCTGCTAAAGGCCTTTTGCTTTCTTCCACCAAATCTGGGCCCGTTAGGCAGTGGGGAGATCCACCCAACAAGGCAAGCATTTGCAGGGTTCTTACCTGGCTGCCCCTCTCAGTCTGACCCACAGCAGAGTTTTAAAAAATGGAGTTTTTCTCAATGGAATTGTGAACCTAGGTAAATATCTAGCAACTCAAAAATATGCTCTTTTATTAAAAGACTCTGGTATGGGTTATAGAATCAGCCCCTTGTTCCAATAAAGAAGCACAGCATCAGAACATGGCCTGGGTGGGGACATTCAGGTTCCGCCTAATGAAATTTTAATTCCAAGGTGGAGAGGAAAAGAAACAGAATAGAAATACAATAAAATCAGCATCACTTTTTAACATTAGCCAGAATAATTTGTGGGGTGGGCAATGGGGGCAGCAACGTGCTTTAACTTTGAATGAAAATAAAAGCTTGATTTTAAAGATTGATGTTTTGTATCTGATGGTACAGCCCTATTTTGTGTACGCTTACATGGAAGGAAGTTACAATAGTTCAAAGACACAAGTAATGCTGCAATCCTACACTTACCTATTTCAGGGTGACTTGCATTTCCTTTTCTTGAGTACATATACCTAGGATCACATTGTCATAGGATTGTACCCATCTCTGGACTGATCTTATGCAGTTAGTACACAGAAAAACTATTGAGGCATGAAACACAATATAATATTAATTTTGCTAAGTAGATAGGAGTATACAGTAAATCATATTGTATACCATATTTTACAGCATATTTTTAAACTGGTCCATGCATTTTTCAGGTTTATATAAACCCTGAAATATTAAGATAATACCCGGATCCTGGTATTGGCCAGGTTAATTTTTTTGTCAATAGCCATGTTATTATAAAGTTATTATAGAAAATGAAGTACAGCTGCAATTCTGTATCATTTTCCATACTGAAAAGATAAAGGATTATATTTTATAGTATTTAGAAGGATTAATTTTGTAACCCTGCTCTAAATGACTACTTCATATAATTGGGATTTAGGAATCTGAAAGTGAAAAGACTATCATCACATCTACTCCTTTCCTTTCTGCAAAAAAAAAGAAGAAATATATATAGTCCAAACCTAGGCATGATTACTTAGAAGTTGAATATCCTATTGACTTAAGGGGGCTTATTGCAAGTAATGTGCTAAAATGGATTGTAGCCTCTTTCCAGGATGCTAAAAGATTTACTTAGCTTTGTTTTTCTTTTTTTTAATGTAAATGCATTTCTGTCCCCTCCTTCTCTTTTCTTCCCTTCCTTTATCTCTGGTTCAATCTGGCTGGTAAGATCATTTTATCCCTAAATCATAAAATCCTAGGCAGTGGCGGGGAGGACTCAGTAATGAGCATGGAGCAATAATTTTCTTTATAAATGAATTTCCAGCCATAAGCCACCAAACTGAAGTGAACAAGTGTTGCTTAAATGAGAAAAGGACCTACTATCAACTGCTGTGTGCTCAACAGAACAAGTGAATGAACTGGTCTTCCACACTGTAGAATGGTTGTTTTTCTGCAAAGCCAATCCCTATGGTTAGTATATAATTTTGCATTGAATGAATTCATAATAGAATTAATTAAATAGCCCGAATGAGACAATTAATCATGAGTAAAGTAAATTGCAGCGCACTGTTTTGCAAATCTCCTCTTGCCAGGTATTGTTCTTAGCTGCCTTTCTCACATTTTTACTTACCCACCCTTCTCAATAGGTGTTCTTTCCAAGATTAAGAATTTTTTAACACAATGAAGGGAATAGCAGAATTTATTTTGCTCACCGAATATATTATTATACTGGTTTCATTTGTTCCTTACGTTTTCTGGCTGCCCTTCTTCTCCATACAATACCAGATCCTGCACATGCTCCACAAATGGAGGAAATGAAATACAGTATCAGTTATTCACATAGGCACCGCCCCATTATAATATAACAATAATATTAATATTGATTATGGTCACCAAATAAGACAAATCTACCAACGGAGCAATTTAAATAACTCAATAAACATTATATAAAATATTTATATTTATAGATATATATATATAAAAACAAAACTAAAAACAAAATAAACAAAAATCACTGTTTTTGCAATCTGATATTCCAGAGGGAAAATAAAAGATGGCAGTATGTCACTCTTTCTACGGCCTGATGTTTGACTCCACACGTTCCAATGGCTCCTACTCGAAGAATTCAAGGCTTCGGAGCCTTTCTTTCGGCAGGGCCTTGCCGGATTGAGTCCTGTTGCCGGGAGTTTCTCAGGCGCAGAAACCCCGGACTGCGGACAAGGCAAAGGGCTGAAGGCGGCGAGCCACGAAGCTGGCCGTGTAACGTCTCCAGAGCCGCCCTTGGGGTACCGCTGTGTCCTCGCTAGGTTTCCCCCCACACCCCCTCGTCGTCCGCAGACTCGGCGCTGTACTCCACGCAGGTTCGGCGGGGCCTTCCTTCTGCTGCTCACAGATCGCATTCGCTATCGCTGGAGGTGATGGAGATGGCCGAGGAAGCGGCGGCTTTACTGGAGAGGCTGGCGGCGGGGCTGGCGGCGGCGCCGAGCGGCGGCTCTCCCGCGCTCTCTTCCTCCGACGGCAGCGACCGCCCCGCACCCTGCGAGGAGAGTCCCTGTTGCTGGAGCCTGCGAGGGGGGAAAGGAGAAGACAAACGGTCGTGACTCAAGCGGCGGTCGCCACGAACGGCAGCCCGCTCTCCGCCAGGCCCTTCAGGCCGCCCGGCCTTTCCCTGCTTCTGCCTTACGAATCCCGCTCCCCAGTGTTGGTTCTGCCCCTCTTCCGGCCCGCGGAATTCTGCGCCGGCGTTCGGATCCAGGGCCGAGTTAAGACCTCCCATTGGAATATATTCCACTCATACCATGTCAACGTTATTGTTCCCCACCTCCATTGTTGTTTCTCCGTTGAAGTCAACGGCATGGATTGTATGGGAAAGACTAAGATATTGTTTTGTCTTCCGCCATTATGTCTTCACTAATCACTTTGGGTTGAATGAAACATTATTGATTTCAGGACTCAGATATAATTTTGATAACAATCCCTCCATGTTGAAAAGTCCAAAGAGCAGCTTCCTTTCAGCCAAAGACCACATCCTCCCCTTCCCTCCCCTTCCCTCACTTAGCATTCTGCCTTCAAGGTTTCTACCAAATCGTAGCCCCCTCCCATTTTAGGATAAGCCTCCACAGCATCTCCCCTCTTAATGACAGCTACAATATAACCCCAAACATGGCCCAGCTACCGAGAGGAGGCTGCAGAAACTTATTTCCAGCACAAAGGTCCAACACCTTCCCTGAATTTTTTGTCTCACATATAGAGATTATACACAAAAATGTATATTTTTATTGTCAAATAGGCTGCATTTTTACAGTCAATCTCAATGACTCCCAGTACCCTTCTTTACAACATTAAGAAAATAGTTTGCCACTGCTTCTTTGGAGATTTCTTTAAAAAAAAGCATTGTTTGATCCTACTAGATTTCCTATGGTCCCTATCCCACTATTAATTAGGTCTAAGCCTGATTAATTATTGGTGGGATAAGGCTGGCTTGGAACTGCTATTTATACAGTGGTTTTTGGCATAGTGAGATAGAGATGAACATGATATATTTTTGGTCCTTTCAGCAACTAGCCCTGGAGATAATTATCATCCTGGAAGCCTTTGGATTAGGAAATATATGTGCTTTCCCTTTTTTTCAGTGCCTAAAAAAATAATCATAAGTCAGATGGGGCAAGGACCATGGCCAGTCGATGGGAGATATCTATGGCCCTAGGGTTACTAAGTCTGAGCACAAGTATAATAAAAGCTGGCATGTTATATTTATCTTAGACGCTGATGTATTGAACACAATAGGATTTTGGAATAAACATAAACAAAAGAGAGTGTAAAATATTAAGATTCCACACAACTACATTTTGACGGCTTTTCCTTTTGTCTCTTCCTGTTCAATATGAAACTTTAATCATTAATTTACTTCAAATATTGCAACCATTTATGAATTCTAAATATTGATTCTTTTTGAAATCAATTGCAGTCCAAATAACAATTCCAGCTATGGTGGCTCAGTGGTTAGAATGCAGTATTACATTCTAATACTCTGCCAACTCTGCCAACTGCCAGGAGTTCGATCCTGACCGGCTCAAGGTTGACTCTGCATTCCACCCTTCCAAGGTCTGTAAAATAAGGACCCAGATTGTTGGGTCCTGTAAAATGAGGACACAAATGTTGACTCTCTAAACCGCTTAGAGAATGCTGTAAAGAAATAGCTACACATAAAACAATAATCATCTTAGTAAAGTAAAATATTGTAAACATTGTAAAACTACATTAAGTTTCAAGAATTTGAAAAAATATAAGAAATACTTTGATGTTTAATAATAATTAAACTTTTAAAAGTGTCAACATATCTAGCGACATGTAATTTATCTATTTTATTCCCTAAATAAGAAAAAAGGTTTTGCTATGAAATGAGGCTGTGATGACAATATACAAAGTTGTTTGATACTAGCATTTCTCATCATGGCAGCAAACAGCCGTATAAAACAACTTTGTATATTAACATCACAGCCGTATTTCATAACAAAACCCTTTTTTTTACATCTTAATTCTTGATCACACTTTGAAAATCTTTCACGAAGTATTTCCAGTTGCTCTCAGTATATATTTGCAACATGATTTTTCAGGGATAGTTTGAGAATATACCTGATAATAAGTAGGAGAGTCAGTTTGATGTAGTGAATAAGGCATCAGACTAGAAATCAGGAGACTGAGTTCTAATCCCTTTTTAGGTGCAAAGTGATCCTAGGTCAGTCATGTCTCTCAGCCCTAGGAAACCGGCATTGAAAAACATTTCTGAAAAACCTTGCTAAGAAAACTGCGGGGGACTTGACCAGACAGTCATCGGGAGTCAATAGTGACTCAAATGCCTGGCCGTCCCCCACCCCCATCCCCACAGGCATACTCACACTCTGAGGTAAGATAAAGTCCAGGTCAAGGAAAACAGACTGAAGACCAAATAAAATGTTTTAATGAATCACCTAATTTGTTTTTGGCCTTAATCCCACATGCCCTTACAATGGCACAATCATAGCTTGACAACACCAGTTATTCTCCTTGGCTTCATGACATTAACCTCATCAGCAGGAAGCCTTAAATTTTCATTAGTAGTACATGCAGCCAACATTACACCACCACGGTTGTGTTAAACCTGTAACGATTTTGGAGACATTGGAGACAAAGATAATGTTTTGTGGAAGTGAAGGTCTGCACTGTAAGCATTGGGAGGCACAGCTATCAGGCTTGACCTTACGTCACTGGTCATTTTTTGTAGTAAATGACTTTACTACAGTCATTTCTCTCCCAACTCCCAGTCTCCATCATCACTTTATTTTCTAGGTTCCCATACCTGTCAGTTCCCTCCATATTTCTGACAGTTAACTTCTCTCCTGGCACCCCAAAAAATAAGGAAGAGCAGAGTTCTCCTATTTTAATCCAGGAATAAGAATGCCTCATTTACATGAATTCATTTTACTACAGTAATATCCTGAAATGTACCTTTAAGATGCAGCATCCCTGCATTTCCTTCCTCCAGAGAAGAATGAAGGCTGTTGAAATGGGTTTTGTTTGCCTATTTGCAGTTTCCCTGTATCTGCCCATTTTAATTCCTCCTCTGTCCACCCTTGGTTGCCCAACAGTTAGTTGGTTTTAATTATTTTTTTCTATCAGTCCCAGCCAGTTGAAGAATTATATCAGGATCTGGTGTCTTCCTTCTGCAACTAATATCACCCTGGTGTTTTCCCATATCCTTCATTTTATTTTAGGGGGGGGGGGAATGATCAAATGGGATGACTGGTTGGGAGTGGGAGAGAAAACAATCCAGAATCCTGAAATAAGCCACCACATATCTTTGCTGTGATAAAAAGATGAACATTCAACAACTGAAAGAAGCTGTGCTTGACAGGATAGCACGGAGTGCAATTGCCTATAAAATTGCCAAAGAGTTGGACAAGACTGAATGGTTTTTTGCTATAGTGCCCTAAATGATGGATGGTTCTCCCACTAGCTGATGACATGCTGAAAGTGGACCAAAAGCAGAACATTCCAGTCACTAATCCTATTATGACTGGCACCCTCAAATCAGGTGATTTGAGCATCATTTGGCAACGCCTAGGAACAGATACAATAAAGTACAATAGGGATTGACATCAGGGTCAGTTGTTGTTATTCTGATGTTGTTAAATGCCAGCTCAAGGGTAGATGGATAGCACTTTAACTCAATGATGGGGAGTGGCCCATAGTAAATAGTGTTTCCAGCTAAGCTCCTTGGATGTTTGTTTTGGGAAGAGAGATTTTCCTACACTTCTAATACTTGCCAGTCATTATTGGAATCCCATATGCATACAGTTTCTTAAGGTGCTTAATGTTCCTTACAGACCTCATTTGCAAAAAAAAATCTCACCAATGTGTCAACTTATCTTTGCATCACAAATATCTTTACATTCTGCCACATTTTCCCCACACCAGTTTCTCTTACACAATAGAGTTGTGTGTATTATCAATGTTCATTTTCTCTGCCTTCTCACTTATAATCTCTACCCTTGCTAACGTCTACTGTACCTCTTAACTTCAAAGCAAGACAGACCATATTCACACTTCCTTATATAAGGAAGATATTAAACTCTTATTTCTCTCCTTCTATAGTAAGTTTCGAATAGACCAAAAATGAATCATTATATGAAAAATAAATATATCTGTGGCTAAGATAGCGAAAGAGAATTTCTTCATTTAGAGTTTGGATACGTCTGAGAATCAGAGGAAGGGCATAAATAATATAGAGAATATTCTTGCAGGCTTTTCTGACTAGATATAGCTCTCGTCTATTACAAATACGTTGCTGAGCATAGAAGTCTATTAACTACGCCCTCCCCCACCATTTGATATTTACCCATGAGACTGGGTCAAATCAATTTGCCATTGAAGGTGAGAGAGAAGATGGTACTCCTCCACTATGTAGATGACAGGCATAATAGCTGAATTTATTTCAATATCAGTGATGGTACAGTGTCCTAAATAAGAAGCTATAGTAACTTAGAGAGCGTTGAAGAGAGAGTATGGTTGATACAACTGTGGATTTAAACTATAGAGTCTACGCTATATATTTGATTTATATTCTGTCTTTTATTCAGGAGATCGAGGCAGCATACTTCTATCTTCCTTCTCTTATTTCTTTCCCCACAATAATTCTCTGAGATAGTAGAGAAAGAACAATTAGCCCAAAGTCATCCATCTAGTCAGCCTCTTTGGTTGAGAGTAAACTAGAACCTAGGTGAGTATCCCCAAATCTTTTCCAATATTTTAACTACTATACCATGCTTGCCCTCAATTTGTGGTCCAGGTGCCATATGCAGATAATTAAGAAGGCAAATGTAACCCATACATCCCCCCAGATTAAATTGTCCATCAACAATAAACTCCAAGTCACTCTCTATGCCTTACCCTGTTGTCTACTTTGTAAGTAAGATTTATGTGGATATGAGAACCTGATGGGAAGAATGTTTATATATCACTTTTTTAGACCTGTGGATCAATGGAGATATCAGGGGATTTAGATCTTTATAAATGTGTTAAAACACATCACAGATAAAGAATTAAATTTGCTCTCCCCATCTAATTTTCAAATACTTCACCCATCTAACCATTTTACAGTCCCTGTTATGCTATTTTAAGAATTAAATTATTCTCTCCAAATATTTATATTATATCTTCAAATGATGTAAGTTTTGATTGTTGCATTGAACTGGTATTTATAGCAGTGTCACAATATCTTGGCTGCTTCTTTTTAGAAGGCATTTCTCGCTTTATAGAAATGATTTTACTAGAAATGCTTTGTTTTACAACCTCTTCTTTTTTCATTATATAATTATATGAATATAATTATATGATTATAATTATATATGAATATAATTATATAGTTTTACTATGTTTTTCATTTGAATTAAGATCTTATATAAGAATCTGCTTTTTATTGGAAATAATTCCTATATAATACTAGAAGGTTGAAAGTCAGCAATATCTAGAATATCTAGAAGGTTTATTATAGGATACATGAAGAAATATTAAAAATAAATTTTCAGACCTGTTACAATATGACATTTTATTTGTTATGCCAATTACACATGGCCCACAAGAAGATATATAAATATAGATGCCTTCTTTTTCTTTTCCAAGTAACAGTTACTCCACATGTAAATTCAGTATTAACAAAACTTCAAGTTATAGATATGTCTGAGGAATATGTATGCTACCTCAAAAAATATGAAACACCTTTTTAAAAAATATACCTATAAAAGTATTTAAGAAAATGGTGTAAAAATTGTTTCTAGGGAAAAGTATTCAGAGCTGAAATAAAATATATGTGTAAAATACATTTCTAGTACTATTATCTCACACTTTTATCAAGCTATAATTGCTGTTATGCCCGACTACTGCTTTTAGAACGAAGAAGATAACAATATGAATCTAGCAGAAGTAGACAATGAGAGTGAACACAATATCCACATTTATACTGTCAAATAATAACAGAATACTACAAGTAAGATTTGATTGGGTAATTTCTTCCTGAAATTACATTTTACAAATCTATTCCGGTTTGTACTAAGGATAAATAAAAATACGTTTATGCATCTGAAGGAGGTCTTATCATCTTATCTGAAGTCATTATGTTTTTCATTCTTTATTTCAAACTATTGTTTATCTTCCCAGTTCCAACTATTTAAATGAAAATTGAACTTGGACGTGGGTGTATATGAGTTTAAGAAGACATTTTTTTCTACTGCAAAAATACTATCATTCAATTACCTCTTCCTATGAAATGATCTTGCTCATCAATTGTACAAATAACCCTTCTAAACCCTTATTGTTATGCTCCCTCTTATTTTACATAACATTTATTTGTATTCATTATACTTATAAAATCTGAACACCCATAGAAAAAGAAAGACTATTTTCTCAACATAGCTTTCAAGACGGCAGACTGAAAATAACCCATTTTAGTTTTACTTTCAAACGTACAGAACAGAAAATATTTTATTTTAATTATTTTGAAAAACAGGTGAGGACAAATTATGGAAATGATTACCTAACTAAGCAATGTATGCTGTATTCTTTGTCTGTCCTCATCTCTGTCCTAACTTTATCCTAACCACACCAAACATCTAAGCCTTCATTATAGTTTTGCTTCACTGACTTTTGTGGTCTTAGAAGATTTAAGGAAACCATTTCTTGCTACTTAAGGCTGCACTTTGGGAAATGCTAAAGTCAATATTTGGTTACCCAGTTCTGTTACGAATTAATAAGCTAATTATTAATCATCTTAATGAAAATTCAGGAATTTAAATGATGGTATTACCCCAAATTAATTTTCCCATACATTTTGTCCTTGAGATCACTTACATGTCACGAACAACACATTCCACTTAAACCTGATTCCAAGGAAGAATACTGGAAAAATTCATATTGCACAAGTAAACTTCTGATTAAAAGGGAATTTCTCCAGGAAATATATAGGAAAAAAATAGTAGTTTAGTATAGCCCCTAGCTGCGTATCATGTCTCATGGATTTAAGCTGAGTATTGTGGAAGTCAATAGGACCAAATTGTTTTACATTCCTGCACTTTGACACAACAGACTCATGAATGGGGAGCCATTGTTTGCATCCTGAAAAATAGAGGTCATTTGTGCTAATTAACATGTCTAAATGGATCAGAAATTCTCTTCTACTAGAGCAAGACTTTCCTTTAAAACACATTTTTCCTTCTTGGTTTATTCCTTATTTATTCCTATGAAGGCATGCATACCTTAAAGTGTTTTATCATATAGCCACATAAATTCTCACCTACATTCTACAAACCATTAGTTAATATTCTTCCAAAAGGGCATATGACCTCGCTGCAACCTATCTTCACAGAAATGGAACAAAGGATAATGATTTGGCTTCATAAGAAAGGTGCACGCCTTATACTGAAGCCGTTTAAATAAAAAACTTTAAAACGTACAATATAATTATTTTTTAATTCTGTTGGTAGTCAATTTTGCTGCAGTTGAATATACATGGTCTATCATAAGGCTTTATTTGTCTAACAAAATGCAAAATTGTACCCTAAACCTAAGTAAGCCACATTTTAATAAAATCAAGTTAAGTTGGAATCCCTTATATGTTTTACATTTCAGTTTTTACTTTTATTCAAAGTATATTTTGGATAAATAGTAGAAATGAAAAATGTCAAAGAAAATTATAACTATAAAAATTATAATTGTAAATGTTTTGTTTCATTGGACTTTAAAACTGTATGTTACACCATTGCCATAATTTCTTTGAATTTTCAATTAATTTAAAAAATCATTTTGCAGTTTTTTAACTGCATCTCTTCACCTGCTGCTAAAAGATGTTTCAGAATGGAATTCTACTATGTCAAATCATTGCCTTAAAACATTATATATAAAAATAACTGATTATATACTTACTTAGAATTTCATTAATTCTCAGTTTTTTATATTCATCCTATGGATAGTTGATATTTAATCGTTAAAAGTAAGCAGATAGCAATATGTTAATCTGTAACTCATGTCTCCCTATTGGGGAATATTTATGTACACCTGAAAATTATTTTTAAAAATTCTTCCTTAAATTAGTACAGTAGGAAATAAAGATATTTAAAATTAATAAAATTTACTTTGAAAATAGATGAATTGGATGCAGGTAGAATGGTTACTCCTGCACACATGTCAACAGTGAAAAGCTGTGATGGTCAAGCACATTTGCCTTTGCGATTCTCAAAAAAAAAAAAAATGACTGTAAAATAAAAATCCCAGAGGCTACCACAAACCATATTTCCTTGAATTGGAACTATTCCTGAAAAGTCAAACTTTCTGATTCCATGTTGACAACTATATCATAAAAGCTAAGCTTCGACACCAACAAAACAGACATCAATCTATGTTATGAGCATGATAGAAGGGAGCCTAATCCATCTCCTTGCTTCCTGTTCCTGTAGAACCAGCTAAGATCTTTGACACAGGATTTCAAATAAAACTCTTTTGAGGACCTTTGGCAAATAATAACAACAATAATAATTTAAACAAAAATCTGCCTATCCCAGGCCCTGAAGAAGGACTGAATAGGTGGTCAAAAATGCAAAATCCAGTCCAAACATCTGACCGACTGACTGAGTTTGCAACCTTAATCATAGTAATATCACAAGCGTGCAGAATATTCCTCTGACCTCTGATTAAGATTTAGGAGCATGGTCTTTCTTCCAGATAAATATGTTTAGGATTACAACCGGGTTCCAAACATGTGTATTCTGGAGCAGGACTCACAGAAACCGGACACCCTCACCGAACGTGTAAATAGAACTCGGATCGTATTTGCAAAATCAAATCGTTTTGGCTGATCTCACTGGGGTCTCCGTCACAGGAGAGACTAGCTTAAAATGAGGCCGGAAAACGCTTAGATTCAGTGGGTTTAAGGAGCAGTGCCAAGCAGTCCATCAGGTTAGGACACAATAAGGTTTATTTTTCAGGGTATGGCGTGTTCCTTGACATTCAACAACCGCACGGCTGACCCAGGTTTAGAAGGTGGCTGTCGTGTGAATCGGCCAGCCGCAGCGCACAGAAAGCCTGGGCGGAGCTGAGCTACCCTCCCTTCCCCGTTCGCCTTCCTCCTCCTGCGTCCCGGCTCTCAGCTACTCACTGACCTGTTCTTGGCGGCGGCGGCCCGGTCCCTTTGGCGCCGGTTTTTGAACCAGTTGCCCACTTGCGTGGGGGTGAGTCCCGTGGCCTGGGCCAGCTCGCGCTTTTTGCTGGGGTTGGGGTAAGGGTCCTGCAGGTACCATTCGCGGAGCAGGTGCCGGGTGCGCTCCTTGAAGCAGTGCGTCTTCTGCTCGCCGTCCCAGATGGTGCGGGGCAAGGGGAACTTCTTGCGCACGCGGTACTTGTCGACGGGGCCCAGGGGCCGGCCGCGGAGCTTCTCGGCCTCCTGGTAGTGCGCTTCGAGCCAGAGAGCCTGGAGCTTGGCGTGCGACTCCTTGGGGAACTTGTGGCTTTCCAGAATGTGGTAGAGCTCGCGGTAGTTGCCGCCGTGGAAGGCCACGATGGCGCGCGCGCGGAGGACCGACTCGTTCCGGTTGAGCGCCTCGCACGCCGCCGGCGCCACCGGCAGCGACCACAGGAAGCGCCCCAGGCGCTCCACGTCGCCGCTCTCCTCCAGGGTCTCGCACACCCCGGCCACTTGCTGAGGACTGAAGTTGAGGATCGGCAGCTGAAACATGGAGACGGGCGGGCGGGGCCGGGCGGGCTCCTGGGCCGAGTCGCCTCTTGTCGGCCGCGGCTCAGGCTATTCGAGAGCTTCGCCCCCCTCAATGTCGGGCTCCTCGACTTCGGCGCCCGCCTCTTGTCCCCTTAACCTCGAGCTGCGGCGGAGCTGAGCCGATTCTTCGTTCTTCTTCTCCAGGACCAGCGCGGAGATGGCAAGGCGGCGGCGGCGGCGTGGCTCTCCAACTGAGGAATCAAACGCCGCTCCCGCCTTGCTTTTTTATGTTTCTTTTTAATTCTGCCCTTCCCTTCCCTTCCCGCCGCGCTTCAGACGGTCGCTTGGAGAACCTTTAACAGCAGCAGCTGCAGCGCCGCCGCCGCCGCCGCCGTCGCACGCGTGCTGCGCTCGGGCGCTTGGAAGCAGAATGGCCCGCGCTCCGGCGGTGGCCTGAAGTTTGGGAGGGAGGGAGGAGGATAATGTGTGTGAGGAGGAGGAGAAGGAAAAGAAGCGAAGGAGGAGGGAGGAGAGGATGGATGGATGGATAGATAGATGGATGGATGGGGAAAGCCCCCAGATGCCCCCAACCAACGACACCCCCACCTCCTTGCGCGCATTCTTCGCCGTCGTCGCCTTTTCTGCTTCTTATTTGCTGCTATTGGCCTCGCCAGATTGGCTGCCCCTCCGTTTCCATGGAAAGGGCGCCTGCCCATCACTGTCAACCTTCTGCCAATCAAACGCCTGTAAAACAAGCCAACATGGGAGCGCCGGCCGAGCTGGGAGAGAAGGATGGGCTTTCCCCCGTTCGTTCCTTCTGTTTCTCCCAGCGCGGTCGAGAGCGCTCCGCTGGGGGGGGGGGGATTGGGGGAAGAGAAGATCGCGGGGTGCGAGGTCGAACCGAAGGACGAGGAGAGGGGTCTGCGGGCTGAGCGAAACGAGCGGGGCGTTGGCATGCGAACAAGGAAGAAATAGTCCGGAACGGGGTTAGCCGCGGTTTCTACCACAGATCCCGTAGGAGAAAAGGTGAGAACAAGAGAGGACGAGGCTCCCCAGCCAGTTAACTTGCCCGCTACAAGGGTGTAACCGTATAGGAGACCTCTAGCCCAGTAGCATTCTCCAGGGTACCCGGCGATGAAAAAGTACTTTTTCATAATTTACCACTTTATACTTGCACCTGCCAGTGGCAGGACCTGAATTTGAAACTCCTGCATGCCAAAGCGAGGGCTGTGTAAAACTGTGCCCAGGTCCGTTTCCAAACATAGTGGGCACACGAACACACATCCTGAAAGTCCTGGCAATGAAACTCTTTCTCTTCATTTTCCTCTCGGTCTGGAATCCCATTCGTACTGAACTGGGGAGTAAATGGCATCGATTCTAACGCCTGGTTCTGCATGAACAGGCGTGGAATGGACTGGAAACCTGTGGCGGATCGCTGGAATATTAGAGGGTCGTTTCCCCACCCCCATACTGCGGAGGTAATGAATGAACACACACACACACACACACACACACACGCCTACAGCAGGGTCCTCAGTCAAGAGTTTTTTAAAAAAAAAATCAGTTATGGAAGGCATCAATGTAAATCATTCTAATTCTTGCTGAAGAAAAGTTAGACCTAAGATTCAATGAATGTACTGTCTTCTTCATATTATAGAACATGAGTTACAAGACAAAAGTCTGCTGGCTATATGTGAATATATTAAACTTGGTTTGTTTAGGTTATTTAGGTTTTTGTAGTGAAAGCATAGTGTATAAACCCAGTTACCTTATACTTCGATTTGTAGTGGGAACACAGAAAACGGCTAATTCGGTATCCAGATTAACTGCATTGTGTAAATGTGCGTTGTGTAAATTTCTGATTGATGAAGCTAACAAAAAGTTGTCCAGTTACGATGTTTCAATCTTCAGACACCTTTGCCTGGATGACTGAGAGTCCTCATCGACGCTGAGATTTACTTCCAAGGGTGAGGAAGATAGAAGCCGTCCAGGAGACTGAAATTCGCTTCCCGACCAGTTGGGGGTTTCTGACTGGATTCAATTATTAAAATCTATTTTTAAAACTGCGAAATAATATTTCGCAGTTCCGTTCTTTCTCTTCATCGGGCATCCAGGACTCCGCTAGCGGATCTTCCCTCCCCATTCATTTGCTTCCTTAATTTGCACCCAATCGCCAACCCCACCATTTCAGATCTCATTTTTGCGCTCCAGCAGCCTTGAATAAACACTCAGAAAAATCCGGGAAAGAAGTGAGAAGTCATTTGTAGGTCAGGACAAGCAACTTCCACATTTTTTTTTTCAGTATTGAGCAGTTCTTAGAGATAAAGGTTAATTCCTCCCTCTACAAATTAAGTATTAGGTACAGTCCCTCGCTTGAAATAAACAAAAAAAACCCCACCACATTTCCTATAATGCTTAGGGAAGTTGTTTTTCAAAAGAAAAATAATTATCATTTTGTATTCGGTGTTTTCCTTATCTAGAGGGATGTGAGCTGCAACTTTAGGAGGAGAAGGAAGATGGTGCAGGAAAACTGCCCAAGGTGTCCGATATATTCCAGAACACCCTCCCCCAGGCTGGTACTCGCTAGATTGGTGGTGGTTAACGGAGTTGGCCGGGACCGTAGGATTTGTATTTCAGCACATCCGAGCGTCCTTAGGTTGCGGGAAGGCTCTTCTGAAGGGCAAATCCAAGACACTTCTTTTCCCTGCCCAGAACATTAAAGAACAGCGTTCAAAAACTAACACCCACCTCTTAATATTTGGAAAGGAATTGAATAGTAAGTAACTCAAGGCAGAACCTTTAAGCAACACTTTTCCTCCAACGTTGCCTTGGTTATTATTAATCCTTAGCGGTGGGAGGGGGCAATTCTCAAAAGGGATGTTGTCTTAACGGGAGAATTGGGGAGATTTCTTTCCTCATTGTGGAAGAGTTGGAAGGCCTTAGAAATGCGAATTATAAACAATCCTAGTGCAGATCATTTGGCGCGTTCCTTTTGCAGTGGGAAAAAAAAAAACCTCCAGCTTGAGATGCGAGCAGCGATCTCTATCCGGAGAGAGAAATCTGAGGCTGGAGGGAGGTTCTTCCGCCGCTTTTTTTTCGGTATCAAGCACACGGCGACTTTTTTCTCGGGAAGATCTGGCAAATCAGGCGGCGGATACATAGCGCAGATAGTTTGGAGGTGTCGGGTCAGATTACTGCACGCCTGGCTATGCGCCGACGTTCATTCTGACGGATAAGCCTGATATTATTTTCACAGATCTACCCTGTTCGCTTGCGGGGGGAAAAGCCCTCTGAGCCATTGTCATCGTTTATGCGAGGCTTGCAACTAGCGGGATGGCAAGCCTTTCAGTATCGCTCATTTTCATAAACACCGTCAGGAGAGCTAGAGCAAAAGTCAAGAACGAAAGGGTGCATATTGGGGGATTAACCCATACTTTGGAAAAGTCTTCTTGGAGGCAGAAGCGCCAGACCCACGCTAGGCAGTTCACTGATCCGATTTGTTTAAAACAGATGTATTTGGATTTAAAACAAACAGAGATGTCAGTCCTGGGCATGTTTATTGATTCTGTGGTAAACCTCAAACTGCGGGCAAGAAGGCTTATTCTCAGGTTTTGGTTCTATTGGGCTGCAGCCTTAAAAAGATTTATAAAACGTTTTTTTTTTTCAATAGTAAACTCATGGCATCCATGGAATATTCAAAGCTGAATTTACAAGAAAGAGGAAGAAACTAAACATTTTAATGGCCTTTTGCCACCTCCCACAAATATTCATAGAATTGCAATCCTTGGGGTTAATTTAATTAAGAGATGCAGATAACTAATTCATGTTGTGTTTTATTGTGAATGGATTAGATATTGGTGATTTCCAGGAGGAATAAAAAAGGGAGACATGAAAAATATACTGCCTATTGTAAATTCTTCCATAAGAATTCCCACTTTGAAAAAGTATATTACTCTGGAGATTTTAATTAATTTCAATCTGAAATGCACTGAGCGATACCTCAGTAGAAGTGATACCAGTACAATTTATTTATTTATTTACTCTCACCTTTGGGACTGGATCCATTGAACTAGCTAAACCTTACTTACTATATATTTATCCAGGGAGCAGCTGTACATAGAAAAAAACACACAATAAACTGGACTTTGAAGTAAATGAGTTTAAGACGAGGAGAAAAGCCCCCTGTGGGCAGTTTGTGTGTATACTATATCACTTCAATCATGTTAGTCTGTTGTAGCAGAAACAAAACCTTGGTACATCTTATTCATAAAGTTTTGGCATAAGCTTTGGTGGACTATGATTTGTTTCATCAAATGTACTGAATGTTCTCTATTAAAAGATGTAATCTATCTCTGAACACCAGGAACAGATTAAGAAGAAACAAAACATTTGGAGGTATGGATAATTATCTGTAAACATTGATCATTCAGAAAACAGAGGCAAAGTTATCATTGCATAGAGTAAGACAAGTGATGATATAAAACCTTGATCATATTTACAGTATTTCAGCCTAAGGATGCAGGTGTATACATACTTATCTAGAAATAAGTTCTTTCTAATATACTACACAGGGTAGGCATGTGCACAACTACACTATAAGCATTTCAGTACATTAATTTATATGAAAGAATAAACTCATCTTAAAAATTTCCTGTTAAAATAAATGGATCTTACCTTGAGCCAGTAATCTCAAATCCTATTTATTTCTATGATGTGGGGAAAATGACTGATTAATTTTTAGGAACTAGCCTTTTAGTGCTATATTTTTTTCAATCACTATGAAAGCAACCAAAGAGGCAGTGGATTGACTGAAAGACTTTCAGCTCCTGTTCAAAATGTTGCAATTTAACTACCTAGTATTTCTTTTCAGAGCACATTTATTCACGTTTGCTCTCATTTTATATTTTAGTGGCTTTCCAGGGCAAATCTCATTTCTACTAGCACTGTTGATATTACCTAATTTGGTAATGAAATATCTGCAAGAAACCAACCAAGCTCAAAGAGCACCAAGGACCCCACCCTTATCTAGGTTAAATAGACCCTAGTGGTTGCATTAAGTATTTGCATAATACAGTCTAATAAATTTGCCTATTTCAATATAGCATGCCAAATTTGACTAATAGTATGGAAGGCACCCTTCATATCTGGTGAGTGCATGGACATACCTCTTCCTCAAGGATGATATACATATATCATCTTTAAATCAGTTTCTGCACTGGCAGCTATTTTTTTCTTTAACTGTTTCTGGAACTGGAAGATCTTTTTCTTATACATTTGTTAAATGAAGCAGAGAAATGATTCAGCGGACATTTATTGGGATGTTTGGTAAATGCAAGCTTGTACCTGTTGTATTACCCTTCTACACAATGCCTTGCAAATATATTTCAGTCAGCAATTCATGAATAGCCCCATTTTCCATGAATGCCTTACAAAGAAGTAATACCAACATGTAGGCATTGACAGAACAAAAAACAAGACTGGTCCTATCTGGTTGTATTTGCCATCGGTATAGGTTAGATCATGGTGGGAAGAACTAAAAAAAA